GTCCCCACTGTCTCCACCACTGTCCCCACCACTGTCCGGCTGTCCCCACTGTTCCCACCACCGTCCCCACTTTCCCCACCAGTGCCCCCACCATTGTCGCACTGTCCACACTGTCCCCACCACTGTCCCCACCACGATCCCACTCTCCCCACTGTCCCAACTGTCCCCACCACTGTCCCACTGTCCCCACTGTCCCCACCACTGTCCCACTGTTCCCACTGTCCCCACCGCTGTTCCACTGTGCTGCCCCACCACTGTCAGCACTGCCCCCATCAGTGTCCCACTGTCCCCACTGTCCCAACCACTCTCCCCACTGTACCACTGTCCAACCACCGTCCTAACCACCGCCCTCACCACTGTCCTCACCACCACCGTCCCCACCACTGTCCCAGTGCCGTCCCCACCACCACCGTCCCCACCACTGTCCAACTGTCCCCATTGTCCCCACCACTGTCCCACTGTCCCCACTGTCCCCACCACTGTCGAAACTGTCCCCGCCAGCGCCCCCACCATTGTCGCACTGTCCCCACTGTTCCCACCACTGTCCCCACCACGGTCCCACTCTTCCCACTGTCCCTACTCCCCACCACCATCCCCACCACCTTCCCAACCACTGTCCCCACCGGTCCCCCATCCAGAGTGGGAGAGGAAGGGGAGTCGTTGCGGCGAGGGGGGAGGGGGGGAGGGGTGGGGGTTCGAACTGGTAGTGACCCCCCTGGTTTTCCGGACGGGGGGGGGAGGGGTTCGAACTGGTAGTGATCCCCCCCTTTTTATGATGGACCGGGGGGGGATGCGGGGTTGGAACCCCCAGTGAACCCCCCCGGCTTTCGAGAGGGAGGGGGGGGACGGGTTGGAAACCCAGCGACCCCCCCCCTGGTTTTCTGCCAGCAACGGTAGAACACGCTCTTTCATATTTGTATGCATAGATATATACATCTAGAGAGTACACACACACTTCCTCCGACGGGCCGATGGAGCGCGTTCCTCGGGCCAAGTGAAACGAGGACGGGGTGCGTGCCAAGTTCATTACCTTCTTGAGCCACACAACACACATATATACATGATTTATCCGACGCGCCGAAGAGTGCAATCGGCGGGCAATGCGAAGGAACGCACTTGCAAAGGCTTTACGCCATGCCCCTTCCCCCTAGTGTGACTGGCCGAACCCACACCACAGTATCATCATCATCATCATCATCATCATCAGCAGCATCATCAGCATCAGCATCATCATCATCATCATCATCATCATCAGCAGCAGCAGCAGCAGCAGCATCATCATCAGCAGCATCAGCATCAGCATCAGCATCAACATCATCATCATCAGCAGTATCATCATCATCATCAGCATCAGCATCAGCATCAGCATCAGCATCAGCATCAGAATCATCATCATCATCATCATCATCATCATCATCATCATCATCATCATCATCATCATCATCATCATCATCATCATCATCGTGATCGTAATCGATATTATCATCATCAGCATCATCCTCATCATCATCGGCAGCAGCAGCATCCTCGACATTATCAGCATCATCAGCATCATCATCAGCATCGTCGTATTAGTGTTCATCCTCGTCATCGTCCTCACTAGCATGGTCAGCATCATCATCATTAGCAGCATCGTTGTCATCATCAGCATCAGCATCGCCATCATCATCAGCATCAGCATCGTGGTCAGAATCAGCATCAGTATCGTCAGCATCAGCAGCATCATCCGTATCGTCATCATCAGCAGCAGCATCATCATCAGCATCATCATCCTCTGTCTGGCTATCATCATCGTCGGCATCACCATCTTCGTGCCATCCCGCCTGCTCACCCTCGTCGGACGAGGGCGCGGTGGACGTCCTGGGCCCCGGCCACGGGCTGCAGCTCTGCGCGACGTTGCTTCGTTCCCCATGGGATGCCACGAGGGACCCTTCAGCGGGAGCAGCGCGGCTCATCACGCCAACCCCGGAGGCCGCTCGCACGAACGGCTCAGGAGAACAGCCAGGCCCGTAAGAGGAACACAAGCCCACCGCTCACGGGCCCCGGCTCTCGACCCCCGCCCGCCCTCTCGCGCTGCCGAGGGGCTCCCTGCGGAGGCAGGGGGCGCACAGAAGAGCAGCATGTCCACGGTCTGCAGCTGCTGCATGAAGACCTGCGGCCCGCGGCCACGGGGCGAGGGCGCGCGATCACCCGCACGCGGCCGCGCGGGAGGACGAGCAAGAGGCTGAGAGTTGACGACCTCCTCGAATCGTTGTTGAATATAAATATATATGTATATATGTGTACATAGAACCGATGTAGGTCAAAAACAAACCAGAAAAACAAACTGGTACAAAAAACGACGGGCGAGTGTTTCGTGATGAGGGAACAGCACTCATACCTACAGGGAGGAGGAACGGAGAAGGGCAAGGAGACGAAGGCGCTGTAGGTATGGGCACGGATTGTCGGACCCCAGGGGGGGCTCCCCTTCGAGAGGGCACCCCGATCCGACAACACAATCCCATAGACCCCACGGATTTCCACATAGGCAAACCCTAGAGGCCGAATAGGTATGGGTGCAACCGCTACCCATGATGCAAAAAACGCGAAAGGATCGAGACTTCTGAGTCCTCGAGGTAAAAGTAAACAATAAAAACCAAACAACAAGAAACAAGAAAAAACGAAACACATGAAAACATGCATCGGAGGCCTGCGGTTAGAGGACAGGAAGGAGGCACCTAGCTCCTCATGGAAGAAGGGAGGGAACGTCTCCAGGCATCAGTCTCGGTGAGGCCAGCATGCAGCCACAGTGCCATCGACAAAGTGTGGCATACAATAGGCGCGCAAGGGAGGAGCATGGTAGGACGAAGAAAAAAACAAGCACCAGCACCACCGTCGTCGAGCAGGGGAGTGCCCTCGTGGTAACTGGGGTGGTGCCGCTGCTGTTCCTGGTCCTGCTCGCCACATCTCCATTCTCCAGCTCGACGGTCGACAGCGCGCAAGAGCGACCCCTAGGCAAGAGTGACCTGTCGCGGCTCTGGGGGGCCGTGGGGAGGCCACATCCGAGCGCGCCGCACCCAAACCCGGGGCAGTGCAGCCCTGGCTCTGCAGGATCCTGCAAGACCTGGCTCTCTGACTGACCCCCGTTTGCATTGACCCCCATCCTCTGGAGCCCCGACGGACGAGGGGGCCCGATACCCAGACCCCCGACGTCGTGATCGTTTCACAACGTCGATCCCCAGAGATGAGGACCCCTTCCCCAGGGCTGGCTTCTCATCCTGAGTCATTTGTTGAAGGTCCGGGGGCCCGATAAGGGCCCCCAAAGGCCGCAAATAGGGGAAAAACCTCCCGCCGTTATTTTTTCACAATGCGAGGGGGTCCGGATAGGCCGGCAGCACTTCGCCAGAGCGGGGGCCTCCCCGCTTGGGGCCCAAGGAGCCCCCCTCGCCACGCGCGCGCCCGTGGTGGCGGCGCCCTCGGTGCTGGCCCCCGTGCGCGGGTTGCGCGCCAGAGGGGGGCGGAGCCTCCATATATTGGGCGGTGGGCTTGATGTCAGTACCTCCTCCTCGTTCCTCCTCATCCTTGCTTCTCCTGCCTCTTCCTGCTCCTCCTCCTCCTCCTCCTCCTCCTCCTCCTCCTCCTCCTCCTCCTCCTCCTCCTCCTCCCCCCCTCCTCCTCCTCTTCCTCTTCCTCCCTCTCCTCCTCCCTCCTCCTCCAACCTCCTCCTCCCGACTCCTCCCCCCACTCATCCTCCTCCTCCTCTCATCCTGCTCTTCCTCCTCCTCCTCCTCCTCCTCCTCCTCCTCCTCCTCCTCCTCCTCCTCCTCCTCCCTCCTCCCCCTCCCCCTCCTTTTCCTCCTCCTTCTTCCTGCTCCTCCTCCTCCTGCTCCTCCTCCTTCTTCCTGCTCCTCCTGGTCCTCCTCATCCTCCCCCTCCTCC